ATATATATATATATATATATATATATATATATATATATATATATATATACATGCATATATATTTGTGTATGTGTGTGTGTATACTACACACACACGCACACATATATATGTATATATATATATATATATATATATATATGTATATACATATATATATGCATATATATATATGTATTTAGTATATATATGTATATATCTCTCTCTATATATATATAGTATATACATTTGTATATGTACACACACACACACACACACACACACACACACACACACACACACACACACACACACACACACACACATATATATATATATATATATATATATATATATATATATATATATATTTTATATATGCGTGTGTGTGTGTGTGTGTGTGTATAAATATGTATAGTATATGTGTAAATTCATTTGTACAAAAAAGGTAAGTAAGTGAAAATGCACACATCTGGGTATCTACAGAGCGAACTGCCACAAATCAGCCTAACCCCCACTTAACAGTCGACCAAGTCTTGAACGTAATCCTGGCGATGGCGTGGCCCGGGCCCGGTATCTGTTTCACTTGAGGGACTTTTATTTTTTAGATTCGAGTAAAAATGTATATGACAAAATGCTAATATTTGTTTACTTATTTGTTCCTGATGTATGTGGTTTTGTCTGTACAGAGACATTTAATTTTACGCAGAATTAACAAAACAGAACGTAGATTTCTTGTTGATTGATATCATTGTTATCTATATTGACTAGAAAAAAATTCTTCTGTCTAAAGATTATACAGTCACCCAGTGGGCTTTGTGGCAAGTTAAGTTATTTGTATATTTGATATATAAGGGTTGATATTTTGTGAGGATCTGACTCTGCAAGCCTTTTGATATACAAACTGTATGAAAGATTTATAGTCGACCTTTGTGTTTTTTCTGCTTTTGATTTCGTGTATTTTTTTCGGTGTTGTTGCATACCTTGGAAGATTTTTGGATCAACCACTGCGAACAGATATCCATGAGTCCAAAACACACCGAGGATAGGTTTCTGCATTTGAGTTACCGTGAATATCAAACGTCTGTTTAAACACGTGTGTCGAGTTTCTGCAAAAAATACTGATCCTACATTTTTTTTTTTTTTGGGTTTGCGTTATCACGGAAAGTACTTATAAAGACGTGATATATTATATGGATACATATAACAAGGAATAGTTGATAAGTTAGTGATGAGTGAGAGTTATAAACGCTGCTAAGAAAAGTAATAGCTGCTTTCAGTGAAAGATGCTAAGCCACGACTATTTTGATTTCATATTGATTATCAACTAACGGATACATTCATGTATTTATGAATGTATACGAATCAATTTGAAAAATACATTTTACTCCCGATTCGGACGCGAAGGAAGTCGAGGTGTAGAAATACTGTGCAAAGTAAGTTTAAATTTATTTGAATTACATTCACATTAATAACAAATAGATAAATAAATTATGCTATGAATCCCCTCCATCTGCCGTCAGGCTCAACGCAGCGACCCGCGACCCAGAGCGGGAGAGGCCGCATCGCCTTCGCCGTGACCGATTTCGGAGGGACGCTGGAGGGACGTCTACCGGGTCCGTTGTGGGCGCCTGTTGGTCGGTCGGTTTGGCGGCGGTCCGGTTTGGCTTAACTCCTGTCGAAGAGATCCTCGAGGGACACGAAGGATCCCTGGTTGCCGTCGGCGGCGACGCCGTTGGTGACGGGGACGGCGTTGGACTCGACGATGCGGTATCCGTCGTCGTCGGCGATGTACTTGATGAAGAACTTCTCTCCCTCGGGGGACGTCCAGCTGGAAAGGGAAGGAAGGCTTCATGAAGGAGGCTTGACGCTGTTTGGTGTTAGTGTTTCGGAAAGGGAAGGACTCCAAAGGATGCAGAGGAAGGAAAGGCTCCTACCTGTAGGTTCCCTGCACCACCTCGTTGGAGATATCCTGGTCAATGTGGAAGTCGTCGAAGTCGATGTCGAAGACGCTGCCGGGGCGGGCGGCGGCCACGGCGACGAGGGCGAGGAGAACAAGCTGGGGAAAGACGTAAGGGTGAGAGGAAGTGCAATAACATACTTTTCTCTGGGTGAGGCTGGGCAGAACAGTGAGGTGGGAAAAGCATCAATGGCGAACGATTCATGGTATGGTACAGCAATATTACACTGTATATCATTTACAAACACACACACAGCATGTTATATGATGTATATAAGGTCAGAAGAGCAGGTCAGAATCGCTAATTCATAAGCTATTTTAGACACCTACAACGAAATACGAAAACCTGAATCATTCGTCAATTATAATGTCTGGTGTGTTCTTCAGTGGCATTCACGCAAACTAAACAATACGAAAGCATTACTTTATGCATTGTGTATTTCTCCCTATAACTACTCTTTTCACAAAGCTACCATATGCACCAGTGACTTACAGCGAACTTCATCTTGATTGCTGTTGAGTGTTGTACTGCCTTGTCCCAAGCGAATGTGACTTTTATACGGA